GACTGACCTGCTTGGGGGAACCCACTCACCTGGGAAAGGGAGCTGTGCCATGGATTTTATCCATCTGCATCTGAAAGAAAGTTAGGACAAAAGTCAGAGGTCTGCAGGGTAACTTCACAGCTCCAGACACCTTGGTCAACCTAGGAATACCATATAGAGTCCAACTACACCCCACACCACAAATTTCAAGCCCCCAGGACTTGTCCTATTGCACCAGGCTATGCGGCAGGGCAGAGCAGCTCCGGCACAAATACGTGCAGACACCCGTGACACAGGACATGACAAACAGGGGGACGCTAAACACAACACGTTATGCTACACACAATGTGAGACAAGGATGAGAAAAAAGTTCCTGGCAAGATTTATAATGGCAAGGACAAAGAGGATGCCAAGAGAGATGACTGATGCTAAGGCGACAGTGGATGGAGGAGGCTCCTCCAGCAAGCACAAGACAAGACTGGAACAGAGTGACCTGTTATAAGAACTGTTGGTCATGATGATCAAGATGGCTGTGAGACAATGCTATGTTTAAAATGTTCTCCATATCATACAATCTTATAAGCCCTTAGATATTACAACTCATGGCTGGAAAGGATGGATGGTAATATAGCTGGGCACAAGGCCTCAAGAGACATCTGACTAGATGGTTCTAAGATGTGACTCAGAGATGCGGCCGAGCCCGCCGGTAAAAGAACGAATGATATCGGCATCCTGCCAAGAAGTGCGAGCCTTCGAGAACCTAGAGATGATGGCTGATGTTGGTGGTAAGGGCCTTGATGGGAAAAGGCAGAGATATCTGATCCAAGAAACCCCAAAGACACGGTAGGTAACACAGCACACCGGACAACACAACATAGACCGGAACTGTTCTGCACTGCGCACCCTACAGCTGCATTCAGAAGTAGAGTGTCTCCCTTGAGTGGTCTTAAGAGGACATCCCTTTACCCTCTGGTAATTTTTAAACCTGTCCCAGGAATTTCCAACCCACTGCTCTCCTGTCCTCCCATCTCCAGGCTGTGGCCCACGACTTATCTTTTGGATGACCGGTGATGTGAATCCACGTTGGACCTGAAATGAGTCTGCCTCAGAGCAGGTCTCCCATGATCGCCTCTCAGTCAGCTGCAATAAAGTAAACCAAAAATAATGTATGAGTTTTGTGTTATGTGGACCCAATCCCAGCAAGTCAGCTACTTGCCTTCTCCTGAGCACGCCAGGGTCCTTGAGTCTCCAGCTTCATCCTGAGTCCAAGGCTGTGGCTGTTATTATGAGTGGCACCTGGATTAGAGAGAGGCAAAGTTACATGGCATTTCTGTGACTACAGGGGATGAGCTTGTGTGCTGTAAGCCATGTGAATGCTTCTGCTACAATTGTGAAAAGCCTTGGGGGCCCTCAAATAGACACTGTTTCTTACCCTGTTGCCTTCAAATCCCCCCACAATAACTCCTAACCCCATACCTGCTCACCCTCCCTCTCCCAGTCACGATCCTCAACTCATCTGAAGCCTCCATTTCAAACATCATCTTTGACACAAAGCAGATCCCTTTTGTGATATGATGAACCTGCTGAAAAAAGGGTTGTACTTGACACAACCTGAAATTTCTGGAAGTTGTGCTTCTCCTAAAAAAAAAACCAACAAAAAAACCAAAAACAAAACCAGAAGTTACAAAAGCACCTTACCACCCCTAAACATACAATCCAATATCACAAACTTAAATACTCCCTGTGTTCAATACTGCTTTCTTCACAGTACCTTCAAAGCCTCTGTTATTCCGCATGCCCAGAAACACCTGCTGAAAACAAGCTGAGATAAGCTGAAAGAGCCTCTTCACCAAAATGAGAGGAGAGCTCTTATCCCAGCAGATCCCAGAGAGGGAATGAAGCCCCTCAGCAAAGGCTGGGGTTAATATACCCCTGAGGGTGCCCGCCTCTCATTCCCACGGCACCCAGGAAAGGGAGGGGGCAAATCCCACCAGGTATAAAAGCCCTCAGAGCAGCTGCAGCTGTTTGGCTCCTCTGACTGGAATTCAAGGGGGCTAAAGGGCTTGCTACAGCAGAAATTTTTTCAGGGAAATGGCAACACTTTCTTTTCTGCTGCAACTACTTGGAGCAAAAGGGCAGAAAGCTGGTAAGAAATAAAACTTTGTGTTTAGGCAGCGTAGCTAGATACATTGGGTAATTTGCTGTTACCTTACATAATTATTCCTTAGTGACTGCTAAGTAATACTTCACGTGTGGCTAAGTGGGGTGGAGAAGAATACTAATGATATGATTATTCTAAGTCTCCTTGGGACCTCTATTAAAGCTATCTACATTATAAACATAAATAAGAAAAATAATACTCTCCCAGGCAGTGTAAGAGTTAAGTACATGCTGGGCTTACCCTTCTCTGGGATATTTGGTCCTAGAGCACAGAAAGAAGTGCCCTGAAATGTAGTTTTAAACCCTTAAAATGCTGAAAAAGGCAGAGCTTCCTTCAAGCGAACCCCTTAAAATAATGAAATGGGGCAGTTACCGTCACTGTAACTGATAAAATGGTAAATAAATGGTTTCTTCCCTTTAATTTAATCCCCTAAAATATTGGGAAAAGCGGGATTTTCCTCACTTTAAATCTCTCCAGTGAAGAAAAAAGAGAGATTTTTCTGTCAATGTAAACCCTTAAGAAGGAGGAGCAACTGGACTTCCCCCTCAATTTAAGCCTTAGAACAACAAAAAGGAGTCAGTTACCCTTAATTCAAACCCATAAAACCCATCAGGGTTTTCCCCTTCCATTTAAACTGGAAAGTAATGGAAAATGGGGACTCCCTGTCAATTAAGACCCCTAACACCATAGACGAGGCAGGGATGCTTTCAACTGAGACCATTAAAATTTCAAGGGAAGCAGATTCCCTCATAATTTGCACACAGAAAATATTGGAAAAGGAAGTTTTTTCCTCAATTTAACCCCCTTTTTTCTTATTAACCCCCCTCTTTTCTGGGACTACTGTGGAGGGCCTGGGGGCTCTGGGGAGGGACTGACACAGTAAAAGGGGAAATTTGAAAGCTCTCTCCTGGAGCCCCACATGCTGCCTGCCCTGCTCAGGTGCTGTCCCTTGGCAAGAGAGCTCTTCCTTTGGCATTTTCTCAAAGAGATGCTCTGTGCCTGGGTGGGTCCAGCTGCTCCCTGGTCCCTGCTGAATGCTCCAACCATAGCTCCTGGAGGGAGGCTTGGATACCCCCGTTAGCCCCTCGGGACGAGCAGCTCCCTGTGCGGGTGTGCCCGGGTAGCCCTCTGAAAGTGGCTACTCACACGGGGGGCTGCTGGACCTTGGAGTGGGGGCTGAGGTGGAGAAAGGTCCTGTGGGGAGTTCCCTCCCCTACAAATCCCTTTGTATGCTCCTTAAACAAAGGTGCCAGACTTTCCAAGGAAGTTAATAGTCTTTTCTCTCTGTGTGCCTGTGGCCAAATCTGGGATTCTGCCTCTGAAATTGCAGACAGAGAACAATTTCTCACAGACTGCAGCTGCCAACACCAAGAACTCTTGCTGCCCTTGGAGTTCTTCTGCAAACAGACATTGGCATGCAGCAGGGGTGAGTTTGGTTTTACAGTAAAGAGGGCCGGTGCAGGATTTCTCCAGGAGCAAAGCTGCCCCCACCGAGAACTAGAGCTGTCCTGGCAGTGCCAAGCCCCTCCTGCAAACTGGCATCAGGAAACTCAGGGGGTGAGTTTTTCTGTACAGAATTTCTCCCAAAGCAAAGCATCTAACCCTAAACAAAACAACTTGGCTGGGTCTAAAGCTTTCAGCCTTTGGACCGGCAGCGTGGGACCCAACCTGCTGTGCCACCACTGGCCCCTTTCTAAAGCATTCCACTGCAGCCTAAAGCTGTCCCTCAGCCTCCATGTGTTGTACCATGAAAAGACCCTAAAAATTCCCTAAAAGACCCCTAGTCTTCAAAGTGTCCTAAAACCCCCATAAAAACCTAAAAATAGCCTCAGAATACCCTTAAAATACATTAAAAATACCCTACTCTTAAAAAACCCTAAAATTCCCCAAAGAACTTTTAAAAATCCGTAAATACACCCTAAATGGTCCTAAAAGAGTTCTAAAAATACCCCAAAAATCCTTAAAATGCCCTAATAAGACCCTAAAAAAACCTAAAAATTCCCTCCAATGCCCTAAAAATACCCTAGTCCTAAAAAAGTCCTCCACATACCCTCAATAGTCCTAAAAAAGCCCCAAGAACAACCAACCCCCCCCCCAAAAAATTTTAAAAAGTACTAAGGAAGCTCTTAAAATCCCCTAACAAAATCTTTTAAAATCCCTGAAATAGCCCTAAAAGTATCCTAAACATTCCCAGAAAATTCCTAAAAAACTAATGCGAAAATCCCCTAAAATATCCTCTTAAAGCTCTGGAAAAAAAAAATATTAAAAAAAACCCTAAAAACTGCTCAGACACAAACTCCTACCTGTCACTCTCTAGCCCACAAAGATCATTCTTATCTTTTTATTATGGTCGCTGCCTGCGGCTGCTGGGAGAGCTCTGGGGCTGTCCCAGCATTAGGGTTGCTGCCTTGTGCTGCTGTGGGGGAAAACTGATGTGCTACAGGTGCTGTTTAGGGTGAGCTTACAGCTGGGGTGAGGGCAAGGAGACTGGCGTGGTGAGTTTTGTTTCCCCTGGAAAAGGGTGGCATTTTGTGTGTATGGGCCTGTGCCCTGCCCAGGACCTTTGGTCCCGAGTGGGCTGTCACCTCCTAAAATTCCAAACAGCTCAGGTGAGACAGAGAGTTGGAAATGGCAGCTGAAGTCTGCTGGTTAAACTTGTGCAGTCTGTTAACTTGTGTGCTTGCAAAAAGGCCTGCAGAGAGAACAAAGGAAGTTCAAGGCCATTTAGAAAAGGAGTGCAAGCATCCAAGCTGAAGAGGAGGCCCCCACCGTCGGAAAAAGTGAATCTGGGTTACAACTGAGTGCACGGCCTCATCCCTGTGTGAGTAAAAGTTTGAGGTTTTGCAGGCAGCCGTCGCCGAGTGCTGCCGGGGGTGGAGGGGTCCCCGTTGGATAGGGCAACGTGGGAGGGGTGTAATTTTAACTCCCGTCTCAGGACAAAGCTGATGGCTCCTTTAGGACAAGACTATTTACATGTAGAACCAATTCCCTCACTTTGCTCTTATGATTTTTAACCCCCAAAAGTTCAATACATACCACAAGGAATGAGCAGGCCCCTTTCCAAGCCCCAGTGATTTTAGCTCTTGACCCACAAGCTTTATTTGACAGCCAGCTCCATTCTTCCAGCTCCAGCAGCACATTTCTCCAGGACTTTGAGCGAAAACTACTCTGGCTTTAAAAAACAGAATCTTAGCCATAATTCCTGCTCTGCAACATTTCAGCTCCAGCATGAGGGGCTCTAAACCCACCCCGCCATCAATATCCCAGCCCCACTGTGATTTCAGCTGCCACCCAGCAATGCCCAGTCACTATGCCAGCCCCTGCCTCATTTCAACTGGATGCCCTCAGCCTTGTTCACAGCTCTGCATTTCCCTTTTCATTCACAATCCTAGGCTTGTCATCCCCTTGCCAACCCCTCAGTGACTTTGTCTCCATCCCTGGAAGTGCCATCACAGACCCAGGTAAGATCCCAGCATCGGCGGGGGTTTTAGGCACATTCATTCACAATCCCAGCCTTGCCATCCACTTGTCAACCCCTCAGTGACTTTGTCTCCATCCCTGGAAGTGCCATCACAGACCCAGGTAAGATCCCAGCATCGGCGGGGGTTTTAGGCACATTGCTGCAGCCCACTTTTTGTGTCCAGGGCCAGGAGTGGCCGGCTGCCTGCTGAAATTCCAAACGGATCAGGATGCCTCCCAGATGCAAGGTGCCCCTACAGGCAACTGTGGCTGGTTTGACAGTGCCAAGTGCCTCCTGCAAGCTGACATCAGGAACCTGGGCTGCGGAGTTTCGGTGAAATGTTGGTGCTGTTTATAAATACTCCCTTTGCTTGCTCCTCATTCTTTACCGGAAGTGCCATCACAGACCCAGGTAAGATCCCAGCATCGGCGGGGGTTTTAGGCACATTGCTGCAGCCCGCTTTTCCCCTCCACACATCCTGTTCTACGTACGGTCCCAATACCAAGCCCCTGCATCCATGTCACAGGCCTAGAGTGATTATGGCACATGAAGCCTAGAGTCTGTGTGCTGGGCCTGCTGTTCATGGCCCTGTGCAGTCCTGGTCCCAGCCGTGCAGTAATGACAGGTCCAGCCCTAGTGATTTCAGCTCTTGACCCACAAGCTTTATTTGACAGCCAGCTCTGTTCTTGCAGCTCCAGCTCCGCTCTTCTGCGGCTTCTAAGGGCAGCATCTTGGTCTGGGCCTGAGCTATGCAACACTTCAGCTCCCGCCCAAGGGGCTCTTAGCCCACCCACCATCAATATCCCAGCCCCACTGTGATTTCAGCTGCCACCCAGCAATGCCCAGTCACTATGCCAGCCCCTGCCTCATTTCAACCGGATGCCCACAGCCTTGTTCTCAGCTCTGCATTTCTGTTTCCCTTTTTCATGCACAATCCCAGCCTTGCCATGCACTTGCCAGCCCCAGAGTGACTTTGTCTCCATCCCTGGAAGTGCCATCACAGACCCAGGCACTATGCCAGCATCGGCGGGGGCAGGAACCTGGGCTGCGGAGTTTCGGTGAAATGTTGGTGCTGTTTATAAATACTCCCTTTGCTTGCTCCTCATTCTTTCCCTGTGCACACCGGGAACAGATTCACTCCATCGTTTCTCCCCAAGTGCCTGCTGTCTCAGTCTCCACCTATGCAGTAAACTTCTACAAGTGTTTGCTTTTAAAGGAAAACTTTTACTACGTTTGGCTGTACAAAGAAAATAAATATATGTATTTATTGTCAATGGGGGAATGCTTTACACAACAGAAGATATCAATTTTTTTAGCACAGATCTCATTGTGACAATAATGGATTCTTTTGGGTTTGGGAATCTGGCTACTATAATGCTTTTGGAAATCGATATGTTGAAATTGGGTCTTTTTGATATTTTGGAAGTTGTTGTTCTGGTATTTGCAGAGTGGCTTACTTTGGTATTTTGGAATCTATCCCTGCTCCATCATCATCCCATCCTGCCCGGGTGGGACAACGACTCCCATTTGCCATTCCAAAAAAGTCATATATGCATTTTCCAACCCCTCAGATCCATATCCACTCTTCCTTCCACCCCAAAATCCCAGGTTATCACACAGCAGATACAGAGCTTTGTTTTGAAACCATTTTTTTAATGTAAATCAATGTTATTTCTCAGTAGATATAAAAGTGAGAAACTTTACAGGTTGCAGTGTTTTGCACACACGTCCCCCCCGTACCCTCCTGTGAATTCCAACATGCTTTGGAGCTGTAACACCCCTTTTTAGGGGAAGCAAAAAACCTTTCTGGGCCCTCAACTTACCCCTTTTTTTTAACTTATTCCCCCCCCTTTTCTGTATTTTTATTTTGTTTTCCTCTTTCTTCTTTAAGGAAAGAAAGAGCCCCAGCCCCTCCAGCCCCCAAAGTGACCACACAAAGCCAAAAACTCCTCTGTGACCATTTAATTTTGAGTTGTCCCCCCTGTGCCATGGGGAGGGTCCTCACTGCCCCGCTGCGACTTTTCTGGGTCATTTTGAGTCTTGTCCTCGTTCCCCTGGGGTTTTTTTGGGTCCTTTTCAGCCTCGGCCTTGCCCGCCAGGCTCTTCTCGGGGTCACTTTGATCTTTTTCCTTGTCTCCCAGGCTCTTTTTGGGGTTCCCCCCGTCCTTGTCCTCATCCCCCCGGTGCTTTTGGGGGGCACCCCCATCGCTGTGCCCCGCCTTGGCATCGATGGCTGCGTGTTCCCTCCGCACCAGCTCCTCCAGCTCCTCCTGAGGGCAAAATTTCGGGGTTTGGGGGGTCCCAGAAGGGTTTGGGGGCAGGGGGACCCCCAGAATTTGTGGGTGAGGGGAGTTACCTTCCAGCCCAGCAGTTCAGCCAGAGCCAGGCACCCGCTGTCGCAGTCCCCCAGCCAGGCTACGTCCCTGTGCAGACAGGGGGACCCCCAAAGTCACCTTGGGGGGGACTCTAAAAATCCTAGGGGGGCCTGGAATCACCTTGAGGGTGCCCAAAACCACCTGGAACCACCCCCAAACTACCTCGGGGTGTCCCAAACCTTGATGGAAGTCCTCCAAACTGCCTTCAGGGATCCCCAAAACCACCCTGGGCAAGGGGGGGGTCCCAAAACCATGGGGTGGGGACAGACCACCCCCCCAACCTGCCCGTACCTGTAGGCCTTGTCTGAGTCAAAGTCCATGCCACCAAAGCCCATCAGGGACATCAGGGGGTCACTCTGGGGGAGACAAACGGGTTGACAAGAGGGGGGGCAGCTGCTGCAAGCCTCCCCCCCC